CGTGCCCAGCGCCCGACGCGCACGACGCCCGCGTGCTGCCCGCTGCACCCGACGACCGAGACCCGCGTGCCGTGTGATCGAGTTTCGTGGAACGTATCGATTAGAATCGATTGAAGGCCAAACCTATCCGCCCATCAGGTTGTGGTGTTCAGACGAACTTCACCAACAGTACTCTACATCGTCTCAGAGTCGGCAAAAATTTTAAAAGGAAAACGTCCATATCCTAACTATAGATTCCGCTGCGTTAGGATTTATTTCGATAAAATTCAATGATGTGCATGTTGTTTGACGTTCCTAACAGAACCCAACAAATAAGCCCTCCTACACAATCATAGACATCACAACTTAACCTATCCTAATACAGAAACAAAAACTAAAGCAACAATCTAAAACTTACTAAGCAAAAGAAAGCTGAATCAAAGCAGTACATCACCTAGATAGCAAGCAGAAGCACCCACTTAACTCAAAGAACCTAGGCACACTTCACTTCTTCCCAGAGCTAGCATGATTTCCTCCTAACAAACTCCTGTCAATCATTCCTTGCAAGTTTGTCTATGCAATGAGTCGGATTCTCCTTTCTTAGGAATTTTAGTTTGTTTAGTTTGTTTGTGCTTGTGGGTGCGTCAGTAGTCTCTCTAGGTTCCCGTCGTTCGGTAATCTCCAGTTGGATTCAGCTTGATAGCTGCTCGACCTATTCCAACTTGTCTAGTTGTATATGCATATTCATTTTCTACCTATAAAATCTATCATTTTGAAAAAAAAAAAAAAAGTATGGTTGCCACCATCAAGTCCCCACTAACAATATCTTGACTATTATTAGTAACTAATAATATTTACAACGATCATTTCAAATTATGTGCACAACTATAGTGCTCTAATCTTCCAAACCACTTATCATGCATGTTTCGTAAGTATCAAATCAACCATGTAGTGTCAATCCTGAAGGTTTACTTGGTAGATAACAAATTTGAGAGAGAATTATAGAAACATATTTGGATTTTATCAAGGCGTTCATATCTCTTTGGTGGAGAAAAAGATTTTGAATTGTAATTGAAAGTTAAAAGGAAATATTTCGATCTCCAAAGAAGGACCAAGTTAAATTAAATATCCAAATGTTACTTTAGGCCCAAACTTCTACAGTCACTACTCTTTTGGCTGTGCAAGCATAGGATTTACTTTCCATGCCGGATTCTTGACTTGTTTCTTAGTTTTTTTCCCCCTATTTTCTTGTTTAGACAGATTGCATTATCTTTATGGATATTTGTTTGGCAAAAATATCAAATATTTCGTCTGCAAATGCGTAAGAAAAAAATAAAGAGAAAACCCTTGTCTCTCTCCTCCATAGCTTCGCCGACTGCCTTCCTCATCTGCCTCTGTGCTTAGCCGGCGGTCGCCGGCCTCTGACCGCTGGGTTCCCGCCCCTTTTATCCTGCTTTACCCCTCGTTTTTTTGATCGATCCCTCATTTGTTGCGGACGGTTCTCGTCGATCCAACGCCGTTCCGTAAGATCTCGTGGGTTGCTCGGTCGTGAGGTGGTGGAGTCGCTGTGTGGTTCCAGGGTGGGAAGCGGCTCAATTGCTCGGCGATTTGGTTTGCTGTGCGATTGGGGCTGCGTAGTTGCTCAAGGTCTCTCCCCTGGTCTCGGGTTTCTGTTCCATGGGGTCCGGTGCTTCAATTCATCCTCCAGTGGTGTTGGTCGGGGTGTTGCTGAGGCGTTGTGGTGGTTTTGAGCTGCTTCCTGGCGATTTGGGGTCGAGGCTGTGGCCGTGACTCTTCGTTGCCTTTTCTGAAGCAATGGGGTGTTGGGGCCATGGTGCGGGTCGATCTGTTTTGATTTCGGGGTTGAGGGTTCGAATCCGTTAGGCAACCGAGTGGTTTAGGCAGTTTCGGGTCGGTGCTTTTGGCTTCGGATTTCGCGGTTGACTTGTGTCCGCTAGTTTGGTACAATGTTGCAGATTAGGAAGAGCTTATTCTAGCTGATGTCTAGTTGTAATCGTGTTTTTTTGTTGTTATAAAATCTATCGTTTCGGTAAAAAAAAAAAAAAA